CACGTTGAACTCCTTTGAAAGTATACGGGATAAGTGAACAGTGTAATTAAAAACTTAAAGTAACTCTGTGCTTATTTCCCTAACATCGCTTTTTATTACAAAATATAGGTATGTTATAATACATTCATAACATCTGTGAGAGTTGCGCTGGAATTAAATACAGAGTTGAATTAGAAAATAGTTTTCCGTATGTGTTGGTGTTGTGCTAAGCATCTACTACACCTATGTGTGTACAGTGTTCAACTTATCGTGGTGGGAGGCTTGTCGTGATGATAGAGACTCTCCCGTGACAAAGATTGCTGTAAAGCGTTCAAAACGTTGGAAACCAAAAATCAAACTACATCCGCGAAAAAATCCGAAAAGTTAGTTATATTCAAAATGTCAAATAGTAGTAGAAAGTATTATGACACTAGATTTTCCCATGGGAATTTCAACTCCTTATCTTTGTTCGATCAAGAGGAAATTTTTCAAATAAGCCTAATTAGGATGACGATGCAAAATTATGATAAGCTCTTGCTTTCTTACTCTTCGGCTTTGATGCTACGTACGTACTGCTCATCAAAGCCATTAATGTAGTTAAATATAGAAGCTTCAAAAGTTTATTCCTTACCTATTGTAAGAATTCAATTTCTGACCCTGTAGGGATAAGGCCAGTCTAAGCCTAAGTATATGCGCTATTGATTTCGATATAATTTTATGGTTTATGAAAAAAACAATCGCTAGACGTAAGAACTAAGGATCCTATTTGTCAGTTCTTGGGATGGGATAGTATACCATTTTAATTGAGGAACTGTTGATTCCTTCCTTCTTGATCTGATTTTATATTGATTTCTGATCCTTGATCTGTGGATAGGTAATAACTCCTGAGTGTTGACATTGCGCGGCACATCCCATCTTATAAAAGAGGATGAAAAGGGGGGTGAAATTTGGTATGGGTTATCAATCATTGCTCACGTAAGGGATATACTTTTTTTATTTTTTTAAGTACTTATCCACATTTCTATACCGATGTATGTACTATGTACAATGTACTATGTACAATGTACATATACAGTATGGTCTATTCTATACTAACCGTTAATTTGAATACCTTTCGTTTCAAAGTTGTCATCGCTATTTACCTTATTCGACTATTTTACATAAGATAATAATGCGTTTTCAAAATCAATTTTACGTCAATAAACTTTTCATTAAAAAATCAGCCATTAGGTTATAAGTTAGATGGCGTTATAAGCTTTTTGGATGTGTTTTTTTACCACGGTTAAAGTCACTATTTGTTTTAATAAATGTTAAATAAATGTGCAATATTTTACCGGTTTCAATTCAATACATACATATTTTGAAATAATATAGTTTGACTGTTTGCTGATCAATTTACAGCATTTTAAAAATTTTATAATTCCATCTTTGTTTCTTTACTGGGATGGCGCTATATGGAACGTCATAAATGTGGTTTATAAGATGATATATAAAAGTTAAATGTAATGACGGGTCACCTATCAGAAATCTACTCGCTAAATCACATACACTTACTTATCTTATACTTATCCATTGAACAAAACATAATAAATAAAAAAAAACGTCTGAGTAAAAAGCTATCTAAAAAGTTGACAACAAGTTGACAAAGCAACTTAGTATTATGCAGTTGGAGCAATACACACATACATATTTCACCCATGTTGTATTTTTATAATTTAATTTTTAACAGCCTTTTAATTTTGGCCAGTTAGATGTTTTGAGTTTTATTTGACAATTTGTTAGCTTAAATTATTCTAATATATATATGTTGTTTATATATTTGTGATTGCCTTTTATAGATCTTCATTTTGATATCCCACTCGATAGATTTGGAAGAATTTTTTTTCCAAGACACACTCCGACGCTTAAGATCCGCCATTTTGACTTCTAATGACATTCGATTACCATCTGACACGTAAGGTCAAACACAAACCTAAACCTCCTTTGAGCTTCGCCACAGTCGGGTAACAAGTACTGTACCCAAACGAATATCAGAATTTAAAGGTGGAAAAGTTATTTCTTAAAACAACATCAGTAACAGTAATCCATATAAATTGTTACCGACGCGTCGACTGATAAATAACAGCACAACATGTTTACGACAGAATTTTCTTCTTAGTACAGAACCAGTATATATCGTATATAAATGCAAGTGCTCATTCACGTCGTTACCTATAAGCTGCATTATCTCTTACCGTGAACACACGGAGATTTCTTAAGAGCCCAAAAGAAAAATCTCTTGCATTAGTGAAAAGCCAAGAAAAACTCATTTTTCTTGCGCAATGGCTGTTTTCTTTCCTTATGTTTTAAGAATTTCGTTTATAAGTATAGCATACGTGTGTATATAATAACTAAAGGTAACCCAAAATTATTTTTGTATGCGAATAGATTTATTAGTACTTAATTCTTTTCTATTTAATAATCAGAAGTAATGTATTAAATGTTGTCTTTAATAATATACTAAACTAACATTGCCCGCGGCTCCGTCCGCGTTCAGATGACCAAAAACCAAATTCTTAGATTTTACATATTAGTCATGAATGAATTAACCACTGGACCAGACATATAAGCGGACGTACCTTTAACGGTCATGTCAGTAACCAGGGAATTTTAGCCTAAGTTGTTTGTTTTTTGTGTCAGTTTCAAGCACTTACTTGTCAACAAAACATCTCCCAAAAATGACTAAATGTTCAGTTAAATGGTGTAAAAACTATAACGGCGGAAGCAGCACCATTTCTTTTCACTTGTAAATACATTATTTTATTACATTTATCGTTATTTATCACAAAATTTAATTAAATATAAAATAAAATGTCATATTATCCAATATGTTAAATATAGTCGATATTTCTATGTATTGTTGACATCTGAAAACCATCATAAAATCCCTGGATTATACCATTCAGAACAAATGACAAAACTGTCGAGTGAGTCCATTTGACATCGACTAGTGCTTGACAATGTCGAAAAGTATATCGATATTTGACGAAATAACTGAAAGAATTGTGTTATTTGTACAGTACAATAACATAAAATACTTTTACCACAGTATCCTACAATCTGATGACAATAAATTTATAAAAATATTTTCTAAATCAAATAAAAATATAAATGCAAAAATTATAATTAGTATGTGTACTTAATTTTTTATTTTATTTTATACCACATTTATATACTTTGCAATATTATTCCATTGTAATAATAATAAAGATCATTTTATTTCAACACATAAATTACACAAAATCAAACAATAATGTTTTAGCACTAAACTTCTGGGTTGGCGATTTGTAATAAAACACTTTACCACTTGCACTAATTATTTTACTTTCACGATCCAACACTCACTTTTTCACAATTTGCAATCACTTTTTCTTTTTCCTAATTTCACAAATGTTTATTAATAACTGAGCAATATTAGGACAGTGTCACATTTTTATAACTACCCGAGACAATCAATGGCCAATTAAAATAGTTCTGTAACAGAATCAACAAAATCACTTCATTTAATTAAATTAGCTTAATATTTTTTTCATCTTTACAAAATAATATTTATTATATATTAATGGAATATACACCCGATATTCATTTGTTTATTAACATTATTATAGGCCAACAGAATGTTGCCATCAATGCCATCATATTTATATAAATCAAATTAAAAAATAATTATTATTTGACACAAATTTATATTTGCCTCTTTAATTCATTTATTTTAATAAATACAGATATTTTAAATTCAAAGATGTAAAATACGATGACTATGCTAACCAATGTCTAAAATGTCATTCATTGGTTCATCGATATATGTATTTTATCGATTACGTTCAAACACTAGAAATATTGTATTGTGTATCAGTGTTTATAATAATGTAATAAAATCTTTGTGTGCGTTATGCGTCACTTGGTTGAACTAGTTTTCATACATTTGTATTTTATGTCAAGTCCAGTCTCTAATTCGTCCATGATATTAGTATACTCTTACATTGCAGTTTTTGTAAATTTTATTTTATATTTTTCCCGCGATAAGAAGTATCCTTTATGTTGACCCGGATAACCAGCTATCATCATACCAAATTTCATCAAAATCTATCCAGTGGTTTTCCCGTGATGCGGTAACAGACAGACAGACAAAAATTCTAAAAACTATAGATTCGGCCTGTGTATCGATAATAAAGTCTATTTCAATAAGATTTTCCAAAAAATATTTAATGTACAGATTCGGCTTAGTTACAATTTTATATGTATAGAAAACATATATTAATAACCATATAATTCTACGGATTCAAAGGCTAAGCTTACTGAATAAAAAATATTAAGATGAAAGATAGCAACGCCCTACTTAAGATAACTATATCGCTTGGCGTTTTGCCCCAATACATACATTGTTGGAAGTCATATGTGTTTAAGCCATATATATACAAGGAAATTGCATTGAATATATAAGAAATACATACTTTTATTTTTACATTTGCAATGAAATATTTATTGCATCCACATATTGCGAACAGATAACGTTTGTAAATCGAATCAATACGGAATGCCGTTAAAAGGTATTTCCCTGTAAAACGTTTTGCGAAATTTATTCACCAATATTTAACGCCGCTTTATATGTGCTTTTTATTCATAGTATAAATTGAAATGTATTTATGGCGTAAAGTATTCTGAATTTATATCTCAAGGAAAAATAAAAATACCAGTTAAATTTAAAAAAGTATATCATTCTACATTTTTTTTATAGAAAAGATAGTGTTCGGCAAATAACGAGATAATATAAGTACCAGGCAACTTTATGGAATTGAAAACATAAACTTTCTAAAGAGAAAAGCCAGACTATGAATAAAATAAAAAATCTAGAAGCACTTATGTACAAGTAAATAGTTGAACCGTCACCAAACAAAATATTAAGAGATAACGATGGAAGGGTCGTGAAGCGAGAGAATAAGAAAGACATTATAGTATCATACATCTTAACTTATACGTACCTTCACCCGTGGTTCCATTACTGTCATCGTATCATCTTCTAGAAAGTAAACGATGTTGACAACACGTACTCGATAATTTTCATCGGGATTCTCATAAACTGGCTGCTTGAAGAAAGCCGTAAAATTTAGGCATCGCTTGTCATAATGTACCCAATGAGGTATAACCGGAGGTAGGGCTGGCTGCTTTACTCGTCCATAGGTCAAAGATGGGTCATAACTATAAACAATGAATATAAGTATAGTAAGTACTACATTCTAGAAATACACTAAACTTTAGGTTGTGGGTACAGTTTCTTTTCTACATTAAGAACATATTTATACTCAATCGTAAGTGGTTAGTAATTGCCATTTCTAACAATTACTACAAAATATTATTTAATAGTATTTTCTATTTTTTTTAAGCAAGTTAAAACTCCAAACGACGCATTTTCAAGTGAAAAATTTTTGCACGAAACCTTATCGACGTTTTAATAAGTAGAGCAAATTCAATCACAGCGAAAAAATTAATCCGAAAACTAATTGAATTACTTTTAATTCTGACTGTTAAGAGGTAATACGACTTGCGACGATAACTACGGCTTAATCATTTAGTAAAGACTGGCGACTCACTCTTGCTTCGCTCGGGTTCGTCCCTAGCTTGCTTCCCAATACTTTTATCCTAATTTTCACCCCCTTAAGGGATGATATCCGGGATAAAAAGTATCCTATGTCCTTCTCAGAGTCTCAAACTATCTTCTTACCAAACATCTAAATCGGTTCAGTAGTTCCAGAGATTACCCCCTACAACGGACTCCCAAGACCACGAACGGTGGCAGAATTATTTCCAGGGAGGTGCAACTGCTTCTTCACATTAAACCACCAACTAAACTTTAATTAATATACCTAGGTATATAAATAAACTTTATAATTTTTATTTATATCTTATTTATCATCTTTTTCGCTGATATATGAATTTAAACAGGGATTTTTCTATATATTTTACTTTATGGCAAAGTGCACGCCTTTGAACTCCCGGCACCCATGCCCATGACTTTGTGCGCTTGTAGGTGAATGGGCAATTGGGTAAATTTTCTTTTGTCTTCATAAATGTTACTATTACATAGTAGTTTAGTTTATTATATATCCACAATATGAAGTGTGTGATTTCCGTCTCCAAGATTTAACCTAGTTCAAGCTTTATCGAGATCAATCCACCAGTTTGTCCGTAATAACAAACTGATAGGTAGACTCTAGAACTAATGATGTCAAATCACAATTGTGTATATCACAAAGGCTTACTTAATCGAGTCTTCGGGTAGAGCAAAAGCGTTGCTGTCCACATCAGTAGCAGTACCGCCAGGACCTCGTATATATGTATCTGGGATCCTGTGTCCCTGGTAATATTTTAATGAACTGCGAATATGATGCTGGGTTTTAGTTGGATCTGAGAATGTTAGTCCTGGTAGTTTTGGAAGACCCCACGCCATCCTAAGATCTGTAATATCATATGAATATATGAAATATATGTATATTTAAATATAATAAATGTATAATATTTAAAAAAAATAGAATAAACAAAATGTTGCTATTATATGATTATATTAAAATACTAGCTGACCCGACAGACCTCGGTCTCTTTCAAATCAAGTGTATAGTAAGGCCGATTAGAAAAATGGTGTTTTTAAGTTTTTTCGGGGATTTCTTTTTCAATTTTGTTCGTAAGAACCGTCCTCGGACGCGAATTCTTAGTGGGTATTTGAAAAAAATAGCCAAATTAGTCCAGTTGTTCACGAGATTTGAGTTTTACTTAGCAACACATTTAGCGATTTATTTTTTATTTATATAGATAGATACTAATTTATTCCCTGAATACGATCAAATAATTGTAATAGATACAATCACGCATACTTAATACCTGTTTTAAACTATTTTAGTAATAAGAAATATTAGGAATATTAAAACACACATTTACTAGGTAGGTATAAGTGATTACAAAAGTCTAGTATTTTGTTATCCTCGAAAATAGTTTGTCAAATGAAATATATTCTGTAATTCAACTAACAGCCAGACATATTGGCTAAGATTATTATATTCACAGGATGCTTAGTCTGACTTTTATATGTTCCTTATAAAGCTATAAATACATTATGATTAAATGAAAATTGTACGTTATAAAAAAAATGATTTTTTGTTTGTATACAAGGGATAATCTCTGAAACGACTGAACCGTCTCGAACAACTCTCTTAGAGCAGCAAACTTATAATACGGGTACTGTATATATGTGTGTATATATATATATATATATATATATATATATATATATATATATATATTTACACACTACCTGCGTACTACAGATAAAATAATGAAGCCGAAATAAAAACTAAGTTTTTATACCAGCAGCGATTATGATTGTAGTGTTATATTGAAATATTAAAGAGCATGTAATTTTAACAAAAATATTATTTTTTCTCCTAAAACAGTAAAGTGAGTTGCCCTTTTTATATAATTACAAAAATTTAAGGATCTAAATCTATTTATTCTGTTGTAGCACAAGTGGATATCCGTTTACATTCCGATACCATTAATCGTGTAAACCCTACATCGTATAACAAGATAAACCAACTTCCCTATCCAACTCGTTACTTTATTTTATTATTTTTATATTTATAATTTTATATTTTACTGACACGAAATTCGAGTTTTTTTAACATTGAGGTTCTTTTGTCAAAATTACATGGGCCATCTGTAACATCCGCAATAACTATAATATAATTAGCAAAAAGATTTATTTAAAACGGACTCTGTAGTTTCAGAGTTTGTACGTACAAAAAACCTTTAAATATTAGTATTAAAATTAAAAATGTTGAAAGTTATCATCTGCAGCTTTTATGAGCAGAATAATTAATTATAAAAGAAATACGAGCGGATCCGCGAGCAAATGCATGTCAATAAATGAACTATTAAAGCTCATACTCTTCCGTACGGGCAATATGCTTAAAACCCAGTTCAAAGTTTTCTCTTTATGTAATATATAGGTAGATTCTCTTGTGTAACATCGCTGTTCTTATACAAGAATAAACCTTAGCAGATAATAGCTAATTCTAATTTACATATGTATAAATACATACATATATATAAATACATACATATATATAAATACATAATGAATAAAAAAAGATACTTACCGTAAAATAACAAATAATACGAAAAATAAGTACAATATTTATATCAAACGACAGTGACAATGTCTTCAAATCATGAAATTTGACATTGTCAATGAATACTAAATAAAAAACTTGGTTGCTTAGAAATTACACTAGTTACCAGGACCGTCGTTTTATCAATACAACAATCCTGGTGACAATGGTTCCTATACATATCTATATAAACATAATATACGAGTATACCTGTAGTTGTGTACAAACGTTTAATCTTAATTTCCTTACTAAAGAATTATAAATGCGAAATGTGTTTGTTGTTATGACGTTTAACGAAGAATAGTTATTAGTAGTAGATAGGTATAGTTTTTGACTCGAAAAATTGCATAAGTAATTTTTTACATTATCATTCACATGGGACAGAACTGGATTAAGTACTGGACAGCCTGGGCAATTATATAAAAAATATTACAAAGGAATCAAAGAAGTTTTTTGTCCCTCCTTTTTTTGACTTTGCCGAATTCCTAAACAAAGCTTATTTGTAACAACAAGAAGTTTTATAGTAGTTTTATCATACCAGGACTTTATCCTCTCCAAAATCCGACTCCGTCGTGTCAGTTTATAAAGTGGAAGGAAAATATGATAAAATCATATCATTTTTATTTAATCATTTTTTTTATTATATTTCCACATTAAATACTTATTGACACAATGCGATAGTTAGGATTACTGTTCGTTTGCAATTTCTATCTAAGTTCACTAGATATATTTACTTGAAGCCATTAAAATAGGAATAGGAGTCACGATTATCTGCGTATCGAGTGGCTGTAAACTCTAAAAGAAAATAGCTGCAAGCAATAGCTAATGAAATATTGAATAAATATAGCTTACTAACGACTCACCCTCGCTTCCCTCGGGTTCGTCCCTAGGTTGCTTCCCCATACAAAATTTTACCCCCCTTTTCACCCTCTTAAGGGATGATTTCCAGGATAAAAACTATCCTATGTCCTTCCCAGCGTCTTCTTACCAAATTTCATCTACATCGGTTCACCCATTTTCGGAGCCTATTCGATACAAGCAAACAAAAAAAAACATTAATTTTTCCTCTTTATGATATTAGAATAGATTTTTATTCAATACAGACCATAGTAATACTATTTTAGGCGTAAATAGTGATATGAAATATTTGTGTACATCGAATATATCGCATATTCGACCTAAAATATTCTTGAGTTACCTATTTACCTATAATTACTAGAGTTCTCCGAGTGGTCGAACTTCGACCATGATTGTTATTGATTTTTCTCAAAAAGGGATACAAAGTTTTTGCTTCACGTGTTAAAACATAATTTTCAATTTGACCACAGGCTTTAACAATAAACAAAAGAGTTTATATGCGTGTGTGTGTGTCAAACACATGGTAGTGTGTGTGATGGTTTTTTTTATTGATTTAATGTATTCCTTATGCATAGTTTTAAAAAAATATTAGCACATTTTTTATAGCTTTATAACTATAATAGATAACAGCCAATTTTTCGAGAAAATTCATATAATAAAAAGGTTGAGATGTAAAGGTAGTCAGGACCTAATTTTATGAAGGGATTAAAAAAATATGTTTTTGTAGTTGCAAGGTTCTACGTAGTTCCAATAAAATGGAAAGATGTAGTATTTAAAGGACATGAAGAAGTACAGGTTTTCCGATAGAGCGAAGTGGAGAAGAAAAAAAAAGGAAGGCTGACCCCATCACCATGTGGGAAATATACCCAGTAGAATTTTTATCTAAAATACATACCTAAAATAATACCAATAAATTGAACATTATTGTGATATAAAATAACATGAGCTATAAAACGATTTATTTTAGTACTTGATATTTTGACCTTTACGCAGAATTTATTTTAGTAAAATGTTACATCACCTAAAGTTGTGTAAAAACCAAAGCATTGTCGTATAAAGTTCAAATATTGTCCAATTCAAAAATGTTAAACGAATAGCAGTATACTAACTGCTAAGAAACTTAAATTCATTAGTATCTATATACAAATAGGTAAAGACAATATAGTTCAGTACCTTTTACTGTTCTGCTAATAAACCGTTTTTTTTTGTTTGGTCGCTATTGATGAGCTTAAGTATTATTAATAAAAAAGTTTGGAAACATTTTTTTTAATAGATAAGAATATTCTATTCATATATGTTTTCCTAAAATTTTCAACTATGAGTATGATCGAATTTCGATCACTAGGCGAACACTATTTTTTTAAATTATAATTTTTAGTCTCTCTTCTCTACAAAGTAAAACTTTGTATAAGAACTTAATACTTATTAAGATAATCTACGAAACAAAGCAACTTTATTTTCTTTCAGAAAAATATTCCCAAAGCACTCGGGTCTCTGGCGTGGAGGTCCGAATATAATGGACAGGGTAATGAAATACTTATTTTCCAAAATATGTACGAGAGTAGGCGATATTAGCACAATTCATGTATAAAATCTTCTAAATATAAACCTACTATTGAGTAGGTTTATACTGTTACTCTTAGTAAGTAAGTATATGCTACATATAAATTGAATTATTACACTGTATACATAAAATATTCTAGATTCCATTCCTGAGTCGAGCAAAATAAAACATATTACATACATATCTGTACATATAATAAAAACAGTAACAAAGTGAAACTGAACTACACGAAGATCTCTCTTTCCCACGGGAAAACAATAACTGATTTCTGAGTCTTTTATACAAAAATGTCAATGATTTTACACAAAAGTATTAGCAGGGTTAACAATTAATATATTTAACAACTAGCATTGCCCGCAGCTCCGCCCGCGTTCAGGTGATCAGAAACCAAATTCTTAGATTTTACATATTAGTATACTCTTACATTACAGTTTTTGTATTTTTTCTCAGAAATGAGATATTCTCTCGCTGTAAAAAGTATCCTACATGTTGACCGGATAACCAGCTATCACCATACCAAATTTCATCAAAATTCTTCCAGTAGTTTTCTTGTGATGCGGTAACAGATAGACAGACAGACAGACAATAATTCTAAAAACTGTAGATTCGGTGTCTGTATCGATAATAATGTTTATTTCAATAAGATTTACCAAAAAATATTTAATGTACAGATTCGGCTTAGTTATAATTTTATTATAAGTATAGATTTAGTGCGCTACAATCTCTTATTTTCATGCATGCTTCGAAAATGAATTTTTACTGCAAGTAAACCATCCATATCTAATATCTATACATACTCGTAGTATAAAACAAAATCCTATCTGCGTATGTCTCTTTCTCCGCTTATTTCGAGTTGTGGCTTAGAACCACACAACGGATAAGTTTTATTAATAGAAAAGCGATAAACGATAATAATGGTTTGTGTGTATAATTAATTTGTAAATATTTTGTACAAAATAACTGAGCTATGACGGTATTTTGTCAAAAAAAAACTGATTTCATAAGCTTACATTTTAGAGATACATCAAAATAATGTAGTTGAATATTCTTGAAAAACCTTAAAAAGGCTTTGATCGGGTGCACCCTTAGGTACGTTGATACTTATAGAAAAATTGAGTAATTATATGTTAATTGTGAATTTAACTGTTATCGAAGGCCGGTATAACAAACCCGTTCGTACTTTACCATATTTATTTCACTTTCGCATCACTTAATATATATTATTAAAATTTACATTATAACACCTTTAACTTTCAGCAAGCAAGCATTAGGTATATCAACTCACTCCAGAAAATACACTGCCGTTCTTTTTACAAAATACCTCTTTTATACCTTACAATTTTTCCACTTCTACATAAATTTAAATTAAAGGGTAATGGGCTGACTTGATTTTAAGAATAATTCATACTAAATACAGATTTTGGTGCTGCCATCTCTACAAGCTTGGCAGGAAATAAGTATTTCATTTGACTCTAAAAGTGATACCTCATACCTACCTACATATTTTATTCTATTCTCATACTAGTAACTATTCATAATATTGCTAACATCATGTTACTAAAAGGTTTAGTTAAGGTTAAGGATTCAGTTTAGAGTAATTGCTTCACAGATTATAGCTAAGTAAGCAAAAATAAAAATTACAGTACTAAATCATGTATTCAGCAAAACAAAGCAGCGACATGTTTCAAATATCTACGCTTAGGATTAACTTTTACAAATGATTTTAAATGTGAAAAACCGCTTTTTAACATCTCGTCGAGTTGTTCAGTAACGTGGATAAATAACAAAGAGGAAAAATGCTGTCACAATGACACGTCTAAAAACCCTCGAAAAGCTAACAGTATTATACAACTGTGTTTTCACACAAGCTGATTTTAGCCGTGCTCTTTAATGCAATAAAGGCGACTGAATTGTCCCCAATCCGTATAATTTTAGAATTTTATAGTCGTTTCAATAAACATAACTTTTTATTTGATAATGGAACCAAAAGGTGGAAAATTAGAAACGTCCACATCACATGATGGGTCAAGACTCAAGGGATTTAAAATAAAATAATTTTACCAACATTCTGAAATACCTTAATAATGTTGAATTTCAAAATAAATAATATTCTCTAATAATGATTAAATAATTGTATTTAATTGATTAAACATATGCAAATATTAATTTCGAAACATTAAACTTTAAACAGTGACGGAATTACGTAACTTTCGTGAGTTTATAATTATTATTTTCAACCGACTTCAAAAAGGAGGAGGTTCTCAATTCGACTGTATGTTTTTTTTTATGTTTGTTACCTCAGAACTCCGTCACTTATTAACCGATTTGGACAATTTTGGTTTTGTTTGAAAGGGTATACTTCCAGATTGGTCCCATTTAAATTTCAAAATACCACCCCTAAGGGTGGAAAAACCACTAATGATAAATTTAACCTACTTCTAATTGTCATATTGACTTGAAACTTTACAAGTGTTTCTATTTCCGTTGATAGTACAGTGGTTCGGTGTTGTTGACCTGATCTGATGGCAAGGCCAAAAGGTGGATAGGTGGAACTCTTCAACGGCTAATAGTAGATACTTTGAGTTTGAGCTTATTTTGTTTGATTTGACAAGCCTAACACGTTAGAATCCTTACTTTGCTACTACTGTCTACACTAAAAAGGGAAAAATAAAAACTTTTTAACAAAAAAATAAAAACCGACTTCAAACAAAAGCACTAAAAAGTAAAAAATAACTGATTGGTAGTTTTCATTTACTATACATACCTAATCAAATATTTTCGAAGTCGGTGTGCTTTGCTTTGTATGGGCTGGCACCGATTTCGAAAATATTTGATTAGGTATGTATTTAATAAGTAGGCTTTAATTACTTAGCCAAAGGCACGGAGCGTAGCGGCACCGGCAAAATATTCTCGCCAACAACTCTCAAACGATCCGTGCACAGCACGTAACGGTGCCGGTCAGTGACAGAACGGTCTAGTGGGCAGAATCTCATACTTTTCAATACAAAGAATATTTTTTTGCCTGACACGGTCCTAGCACGGTCATGGTATGAGACGGTGTAGTGGGCAGAGTCCTTAAGTATATTAAAAGTTAATATTTATTTAAAAGTTCCAGCTTTAAGGATATATTATTATGTGCATCATGCATACAGCATTATGTAAATACATCAAATGAAAAGACTCATTATAAAAATGCGTAATAATGTTTTTATAGTTTTAAAATGCATAATTAATTTTAAGGCGGACGGACAGACGGATATGAAAAGAGGTTTTTATCATGGAAACTTCTAAGTCTCGAATTTAATTTAAAAGATTACAAAATAAAGACATCCAAATAAAATTCATATAGTATCGTCCCTGAGCTAACCAAACATTCGCTATATTTAAATTTATATATATAGTCCGTGGGACTCCTAAATTATAGATCTGACCTGATCTATTTGGTTCTGTCCCAATGTCAGCATTTTTTTTCCAAACTTTCCAACACTTGTGTATTCAAATACTCATTCATAAAATGCTTAATAAAAATTTACATAAAATGTATACAGTTTTTAATGAATAAAAGCTACTGCCCGGGGTTTCGTTTTAGAGTTTATTTCTATTTACACAGTTTATAACCACTTCTTAACAAGAAAAGTACACCGACTCCAATTCTTAGAGGTGGAACTTCATTTGAAATTTATGAATATGAAGTTAACCTATTTATTAAAAAAAGAAATCAAGTAAATATATTCAAAAAATGTACGCTCAAATAGGCAATCTCATCTTTTTTTAGATTCGATCAAAAATAAGATACCTTGAACTTTGTATCAGAACGAGTACAAGGATGACCGAACTGTATCTTTGAATTTACTATGTACATATACATAGATTAATATAAAGCTTAGCTATGTGCATACACATTTTTTATTTTAGACTCTTACTTCAACAATAAAGAAAGCCAATAAAAAAACGTCTAGACGTTGTAAATAGCGTGCGTCCTAATAGACAAAAATACAGATCAGTGGACAAACGGACAAAAATGAGATAAACGTTAGTGTTAAGTTTGCTTCTCTCTTACTTAAAATGGTTATCTATACATTTATAATAAAATTGTAACCAAGCCGAATCTGTACATTAAATAATATTTTTGGAAAATCTTATTGAAATAAACATTAGTATCGATACAGAGGCCGAATCTATAGTTTTTAGAATTTTTGTCTGTCTGTCTGTTACCACATCACAGAAAAATCACTTGAGGGATCTTGATGAAATTTGGTATGGTGATAGCTGGTTATTAGTGTCAACATATAGGACTTTTTACCACGGGAAAATATCTCATTTCTGAGAAAAAATACAAAAACTGAAATGTAGTCAAGAATATTAATGAGATTTAAAACATGCACTAGGTTCCTTGACATTCTAGCAAATAAGAGTTGTTTGTTACCTTAAACCAAAAATAGACTCGTAATCCACGAATAACGCTCGATGTAACATGATGAAAAGTAAATATGTAGTATATATAGGTAACTCAGAAGACCGATTAAAGTCGATCTCAGAAACCAACTAATATTTTTGGAATCAGCAGTATTAGGTATGATATTACGGATCATATTGCTTTTGGTGCTTTACTCGCTAATGAATCCCTATACAGTACCACATACAGTACCAGTAGTACAAGATACTAAACACATAAACTTTAACATGTAACCTTACATGATACACAAATTCTTTACAAAGTTTATCGTATTATTTATTACTAAATAAAGATCTAAAGACATAACATCTTATGATATTAAATGAGCAATTCGTGTATATTTTATTTCGTATATCTCGGAAACGCCTCTAACGATTTGAATCAAATTTTGTATTTAGTTAAAATTTTGCTTTTTAATTTTATCTGTACAGTTAAATGTCTTTTCAAAAAAAAAAACATTTATTATTATTATTATTTATTATATCTTTTCCGAGAAAATGTCGAGCGAAGTTTTGTCACCCAGGTACTATGTATAATATCGACATAATTTATTCCACAGAAATCTGTCACGTGCTTATCCAGATGGCGGGTCTATTGAGAGCTATGCGGAGGGCTTACATACCTGGCCTTTCTCACATGAGACGGCACTCCACTTATCCTCTTATGTATTCGGACGAGGTGCGGGATGCAAAGGCCGAAGGCAAACCGATAGTCGCTCTGGAGTCAACTATCATCACACACGGTATGCCGTATCCGAGGAATTTAGAGACTGCCCTTGAGGTCGATGATATCATTAGACGACAGGTAAGTAATGCACGCAGCATCTATCTTTTTATAACAATGTTTGTATAATATGAATATATAGAAATATAACTATTTATGTAAATAGCTAAGTATATTGTTTCTGTAAATGTTTTCTTTAATAGATAGTAAGAAATCAAACGATCTGTTATTTAAGCTAAGAATAAGATTGAGATATTTGATTTGTATTTTTTAAAGTCACTAACAGTTTTTCTGTGTAAGAAATTGAAAATCGGTCCTCTCGGCAGATTACTGAGTAAATCCGTCTTTGAAACAATCGAGCTTATTTATTTCTTAAAAGAGGAAATCTTTTAAAACGACATCTGTATCGTATATGTAGCAGAGCTCATTGGATTGACATATTGCATTATAAAGTACAGTTCTGTGGGTAAAAGATTGGAAACTTGTGATATTTTAAACAGTTTTACCTTTATGGCGATTTCTTAAATAAAAGAAAATGTTACAATTTCTAAGGCTTTGCTTAATAATAGTAAATTGTAATTTATGAAATAAGAAACAGATATCTATACCTACTTCCATACTTAATATTATAAATGTGAAAGTGTGTTTGTTTGTTTGTCTTTCTTTCACGTCGAAACGGAGTGACGGATTGGCGTGATTTTTTGTGTGAAGATAGTTGAAGGGTTGGAGATTGACATAGGCTACTTTTTACCGCGGGATATTATTTCTTTCCCACGGGAAAACACGTTATAATACAATCTAAAAAAATACTTATAATCAGAATTACTTGAAAGTTGGTATTAGTGCTCTTCAATAAAATTAAATAAATACGTGTTTTAGCATTTTTCCAAATTCATCCTATAAGGGGGTTAAATAGGGGATGAAACTACCTTTTTAGAGGTTTTTTGCAGTTTTAGCGCGAGCGGAGCCGCGGATCCTGCTAGTTTAGTATAAAATTGCAAGATATTCCAGCAGTGGCTTAAATTTTCTGTCCATAAGTGAATTTAATTTTTAGTAAATAAATATTAGGATTACTCATATCAAAGTAAAACTTTTTTAGGTATAATATAAAATTATTTATTGTGATTAAAATAATCCCCAGTAAACTTATGCTAGTTAACGTATTTATAGAACCGTAATTCCTATAGAGAAATCCTTTGATCCGAACATGTCATGTCATGCATGTAACGAAGTGTATGAAATAAAGCGTCGGCAGGCCTATGAGCTGCAGTGCCCTTAATTGAGTGAAAGCGGCTTTCGTCTTGCTAATCCGTCCAATGTCACGCTACAATTCATGTTCCTATATTATTACTTCATTGAACGTATGAGAATTTCTGTTTTCTGCTCAATTTGTTTTTGTATCTTTAATACGTTTTTACTTTAACAGCATAATAATTAAAAAAAAAATTTGCCTCAAATAGCTGTATGTTTTCTATAGAAGCCAACAACTTATTAATTAGTATTGTTAGGTCATATGTACATATATGTATTGGTATAGTATCTAAGCTGTAACTCTCAGTATGGACATGTATTCATTTTACATATTTAATTGCAGGGTGCAACCCCGGCTACCATATCTATCCTAAAGGGCCAACTCACAGTAGGTCTAACAAAAGAACAAATACAATACCTAGCAAAAGCAAAAGGAGTTGTTAAGGCATCAAGACGAGACCTTGCGCCCATAATGGCATCACAACTAGATGGCGCTACTACAGTTGCTGGCACTATTATAGCAGCTGAACTAGCAGATATACCGATTTTTGTTACTGGAGGCATCGGTAGGTTTGATATTCTTGATACTTTTCATTGACTATATTAAAAAAATACTGCCTTAGAGCTTAGGCTATTAACTTAAAGTCTTGGGTTCGAATTTCAGGGTCAAGTGCAATTATTGTATTTTCTGTAAAGAAAGTAGGAAGTATTTAAGTAAGCGTTCACCTTCGTGTCTCGGAGAACATGTAAGTCCTGTGGTGGTGTGAAATCTCTTACTGGTCATTTCGAGTTTCCTGCTCCCATTATAAGAGAGTGCACTTGTGTTGATGCATATAATTGTGATCTATAAAATATTCTGCACAATTGGCTTTCTCACGGAGACTAACCGTCGCGAATGAATTTCAGTTATTAGGAATTTTAATGCTTTTATTCAAGTTGCAAAGAAGCAGCAGATGAACGTGTTTTTGTATGGAAATAATGAATCATCTGAAATAGGCTGTTTTTTATCCCGGTACATCTATTAATTCCCAAAATACGTTTCTTTACATAAAGTTACTCAAGATGGTGCGGGTAAAAAGAAAAGCGAGTACGATTCACTAGTATTTTATAATACGCTCAGAACATTTTATTAAAATGGAAAGGGAAATGAAACTAATAGTTAATTAATTAAAGAGTGCCAATATATCATAAACTTTATTACAAACTGTTCGTAGCATCTAAAGCTACGATGCTACGCTGCTTTATAATATCGCTCCAATAAAAACAACAGCTCCAACTGTTTATTTTGCATATATTTTTATTAAAAATAATATATAAGTATAATTTAAGCATACAATATGTAAAATATGTTAATTTTTCAATAATATACTAGTATTTTATAAAGTAAACAATTCGTACTTTTGTTCGTTATATAATAATTTTGAGGGAAACTTTAATTGCAGTTAATTAATAGGTAAGACTTACATAATGTGATCGGCGTCCGGCGTCGGCATTATTATCCGCATAGTTGAAGTGGAATGAGCGAATTTTAGCACGAAAAGCTCGCTGTACCACATTCAATTAGAACGTGCGGCGCACTACCTAAATGAATGGTGAAATTAATACCTAACAAATTCCACAGTAGCGATGGAAGTTATCCGAATATCGGTCCGCGAAATCTCGTGAACTGCAAACAGAAACCGCATTTAAGCGAATAAATCTTAGATCGACTCGTTAAATGTTTCCCCGTGGCATCAGCGGTTAGAATATTCGTAGCGAAATCGAAATTCACAATTTATGTATAAATATAGATGTCAATAGAATTAGCAAAAAGCAAAATTATATCTATTTATAAGGATTAAATAACACTACTACAACGAATAAAAAATATAAAAATTTATTCCATACTAAGCGTCAAAACGTACCTAGGGACGAACCTGAGCGAAGCGTGAGTGAGTAGCTAGTTTTAAATAAAACTATCTAATCGGAGTTTTTCGAAATATTTACAGCAATCATGGTCACGTGAGAGACAGTTTCTCCATCGTTTTATTTAAAAAGTAATTCGTCAAGAGCAAAGCGGACTTTTGCGCATTGACTTTCGTACTACCACTCAATATACATATTTGCCAAAAACCGAATTTAATAGAAAACATTGAAATCACAGTTAAAACTTCGACGCAACATCAAGTGACACACAAAAGCTAGAGCTTTCATTATTTGTTGTTCTGCTTTAAAGTTAGCAATACTACGCTAGTTTTGCCGTTTGTGTATTATCTGTTTATGTCAAACTTCGAAACACGTTTCTTGTATGGATACTCCTCGTATTTTGTACAATAAAAAAGAAATAAAAAGACAGTCGAGGTGGACGAGCGGACAGCGTAGGGTTAGTAAAAGGATCCCCCCCAACGTGCGTTCACCTTGTCGTGGTGGGGGGGGGCTCAGTAGCAGTAGCGAAGCTAAGAAACGCACAGGGAGGTTGCCCACTTCGGTGGGCGGTGGGAGGTGGCCCTCTTCGGAGGGCGGTGTACCATGCGGGTTGCTCCTGGTACTTCTCTGATAGCAGAGTGGACTGTGGAGCAACCCCATGGTTGTGGTGGTCTGCTTCGGCGGACCTGCCGTCGGGGCGTCGTAGTTGAATGCGTAAGCGATCCTGCGACGCCCCATTAAGACGGGGGAAGGTTTTGTTGGGTTTTAGTGGGTAGTACTGGCTGTATTACGCCGGTGAGCCCCACACGTCGTGCGTAAATGCATTTCCCAACGTTAAAAAAAATAAATAAAAAAGGGTTAGTAAAAGGATCTCGATTTGACTCGTTGAATTCGGTACAAATTAAGCCTAAAAAGTAAAAGGAGAGAGTAGTCATTTTTATAAATTTTCTACTACCCAAGAAAAAGAACAAAAAATAACAATTTAGATATGAGTACATACAGTCTTACTGCGCATTTTTTTAAATTAAGCCGCCTTCATGAAAATACTAACATTTTTATCGCTATTACTGTATGTAATAAATGTATACATTTGTTAAACTAATAACTGGTGTATTAAAATTTAAAAATGACTTTTTAGAAATTAAATTATTCAAGAGCTACATCACAGCTTTCTCCATCTATAATATTTCATATTCATGGGTATGAGCGAACTCGCTCCGGATGTATTTCTTTGTCGTGAATTAATGTTCTTCTAATTGAAGTTGAAAGTCAGTGATTGAATATTTTTACTGTAAAATAGCGACTATGTAATAGATAAATTGTTTCATTTTTATATTAAATAGTAAATAATAATATTAAAACATATATGAAAATGGGATAAAAAGTTGTACATATTAGTAGTACCACTCTCACCTTCTGTGGTTTTTATTCATTATGCCCAATGCATTATGTACGAATCGCGCTGCTCCTTAATGGTCGTAATTTTAGTGAATATCGTTTTTATCTATACATATAAAATTGTAACTAAGCCGAATCTGTACATTAAATATTTTTTGGAAAATCTTATTGAAATAAACATTATTATGGATACAGAGGCCGAATCTATAGTTTTTAGAATTTTTGTCTGTCTGTCTGTTACCGCATCACAGCAAAACCATTGGAGGGATTTTGATGAAATTTGTTATGATGATAGCTGGTTATCCGGGTCAACATATAGGATACTTTTTACCGAGGGAAAATATCTCATTGCTGAGATAAAATACAAAAATTGTAATGTAAGAGTATACTAATATGTACAACCTAAGAATTTGGTTTTTGGTCAACTGAACGCGGGCGGAGCCGCGGGCAATGCTAGTTTATAATACTGTTCTAGTGACGTCCCCTCATAAAGCGTTTCCCTAGACAACCTTTGACGTGCCGAGATTAATACCGTCACTATTTGGCCCATAGGCTTTGTCTATGTAAAGCCATGTTGATGTGATGCTCCGCTATCCCGTGAAAAAATCAATCTTATCATGCAAACAACTTTTACAAATATTTTTCGTTACACTTTGTAATAAATAATTATTATATTGTTCAAAATGGCATCGTAAAAGAGAAAATATATTTTCAATTAATCTAGAAGATAAAACATGATTCCTATGACTTAAGAAATAGACTTATGCTATCGTGAACTTTTATGTAGGTTTTTTAAATATATCGCAGTTCTGTACTAGCACGCCATCTAAGCGCCGGAAACATACAGACGGACGTAGATATAGTTTTATTTTAAAGATATCACCTGTTGTAATTTCATAATACTTTTATTTTATACTAGAAGCTTTACCCTCGCTTCGCTCGGACGTGTGCCTAAGGATAAATGGTTTAGGAACGCATAGAGACTAAAAACAATAAACATGCAAAGAAATATTTATTTCCATTCAGATAGATTACTTTTTAAATAGAATGTTTTATCGACCTGAAAGTCACCTGGCAAGTAACTATTCCATCTATTATGCGTGGTTTTTGAAGTTATACTTCTTTTGGCACGTCAGGGAAAAAAAATTCAAAAATAAATAGTAATTTTTTTACAATGCGCGCTCACACCGATTGCTAAAAAGCGATATAATGAAGTTAGCTGAATTCCTTTTACAAACAGAGAGTTGTGACATATGGGATGAAATCTTTAGCAATTTTTGTTTTGTTACGCCAAAGAAGTATAACTTCTTACGCGCGTACATAAGTACACATATATGTTCGTTTTTTTTAAATTAAAATGAAACAACCTCAACAACTTGTTTTTTTAAATTATCTTCATTAAAATTGGTTAAAACCATTTTCTTGAGCAAAAAATATGATCTACCTACCTATGGAAATCTTATTATATACGAAACGTATATAAATATTTGTTTGCCAATATTGCATCTAGTCGTATTTATATAACTGAGGAAAAATAATACAAGTAAACATGTAATTTATCAAAGGTGGAGTTCACCGTGAAGGCGAGGACACAATGGATGTGTCAGCCGACCTCACCGAGCTGGGTCACAGTAAGACCTTGGTTGTGTGCAGCGGAGTTAAATCCATCCTTGACATAGGCAGGACCCTTGAGTACTTGGTATGATTTATTTCTTATAAAATATAATGTTATGATGTAAGTCGACTCCATTTTTATTACATTATTATTCTACGGTAGGAGAAACTAAAAAGTTGTCTAAATATGTTTATTATTACTATTTACAAAATATATATCTACTAGCAGAACCCGTGGCTTCGCTCGCGATAAAACTACAAAAAAAACTCTAAAAAGTTTCTTACAAACTTTTATGCCACATTTTACCTAATAAATATTGTTTTGGGTTGTATTATAACGTGTTTTTCCGTGGGAATGAGTTAATCTCCCGCGGTAAAAAGTAGCCTATGTCAATCTCCAGCCCTCCAATTGTCTCCAAAAAAAATCACGCCAATCCGTCACTCTGTTTTGACGTGAAATAAGGACAGACAGACAAACAAACAAACAAACAAACAAACAAACACACTCACACATTTATAATATTTATATACATACATATGTTGCTTATTACTATGTGTTCCTGCAATATTGTAAACTAACGACTTACTCTCACTTCGCTCGGGTAAATTACTAGGTGTCTAAAAGTAGCCTATGTGATATTGCAGGTCAGAGTCAACCTGCGTAAAATGTCATCTAAATCAATATACAACACACACACACTCACAGCAAACTGTAGTTGACTTGTAACTATGAGAAACAGTTAATCGATAAAACGTTAAGAAATAGCCCTTTTGAATACTTTTACCACATCATAAGTATTTTAAATCAGAGTGGATAAACTATCCGTATCAAAAGATTACTTTGCTAACACAATCAACTGCAATAAGCACAGATAATAAGATATCACTTTGCGGTTTGTCCTTTCGAATAAAACTGGCTTTGATCACTGAAAGCGTTCTCAATAGAGAATTTGAATCTCAATTTGTTTTTAAATTTGTAATAATTGTGGTTTATTTAAAGAGTATTAGGCTTACTTATCACTATTAGTAGACTTAACATAATAATTTGTAGATAGTAGTAATCCCCATTTATATTATAACTTTTATTTACAAGAAAAGAAAATACATTGAAGATATATGTTATATATACAAAACAAATGTAAATATCTTTAATTATTACTGTTCAAGTCATGTCAGCGTGGATTTGTGGCAAGAATGCTAGCTGCATTCTATGGGCAAATGGTCAAAAATGGTCTTTAGATGAGGCGATAAGATGAAATGTTGTGTTTATTTAATATAAAGTAAACATTTTCAGAACTTTATTAACACAATATTTAATGTTTATTTTTGAATATTCTTAGGAAACTCAGGGGGTCACAGTATGTTCTTTCGGCGAATCTAAGGAATTCCCATCGTTCTACACAAGGCGCTCAGGTCACACCGCTCCTCACAACGCCCGCGACGCTCTTCATGCAGCACGTTTATTATACGCAGCTAGACAACTGAAATTGTCTTCTGGCATTGTAATTGCCGTCCCGGTACCTCAAGAACACGCAATGGATGGCGAGTATTATTCAAATTTTCATTAACTAGACTTTTCTCACGGCTGTGTCAGCGTAGAATCATAGTTTACACACGTCTAGAAGACCGCTTACTTCCAAATCCCCTTCACAGCCTCTTTTACAGATTAATCGTCCAGTTAATTTTCATAGTGTAAAACAACATACTTAATGCTTAAACATTTTAAGTTTTTTTACTCTGTGAGGGTAGAGAGGGAGAGGGAGGGGAGTGATGTGAGTTACTCAAAGATTTCGAAAACCAGACAATATTTGACTTTAAATCATGTTTCTTATTACCAATTACCTATATGATGATTTGCGAAGTAAATAGCAATATGCTGTTGCAAAACCGCGAGCCTAAACGAATATTGGTAATTTAAATAACATATAATACTCGTAGGTTTAATTTTTAAATTGTTAATTACTGTAGTATAAACTAAACCCACGTCACAGATATGCAATTTAATTTGCATACAAAAGAGTGTTAAAATTTGCATACAATATTACTTTACCGAACCAGTTCCGATTTGCATACACTTAATAGGTTTTTTGCATGTAGTACCTTTCTTACTAACTTTAGGCATATCTTCTTATAGCAGTCTTGGTCGTTAGATAGGAATGACAATTTCCTATCGTTAACTATTATAGACTACATCAGATTGATATCAAGCTGAAACTTCAGGAATAGCTTCATTTTGACGAGACGCTCAATCCTCTCTGAAAATATTAATAATAAAGTTTATTACTAACTATTCTATTATTATTACCGGTATTATTTTTTATTATTTGGGTCATTTTTAGTTTACTAAATTTGATATTACGCTATTAACCCTTTATAACTTACTAGCGACTAGCGACTCACCCTCGCTTCGCTCAGGTTCGTCCCTGGATTGCTTTCCCATGCAAACTTTCGCCCCCATTTTCAACCCCTTAAGGGATAATTAACAGTATTAAAGCTATCCTATGTCCTTCCCATGGTCTCAAACTTCTAACCAAACTTCATCGAAATCGGTGCAGTAGTTTCGGAACCTATTCAATACAAAGAAACAGACAGACAGACAAACAAACAAATTTTTCCTCTTTATAATATTAGAATAGATTATGGAATAGATAGTAAGATGTTAAGTAGAAGATACGGATTAAAATAAGAAAATAAAAGCGGGTCAGCTTATGAAGTTCGTTTTATATGCCACATTACTCACTATTTCAGATTCTTTTGAATTCCTTGTGATAGCTTTTTAGATATAAAGCTTTTGTGCAGTAATGGCAGATTGATAGACTAAGGTGATTTTTTACTACTCTCACTTTTTATGACAGTGGGTTTTATTAGTTTTTGTCTCTATAGAAATATTTATTTGTATATTCTTATGTTTGCTAAATTTATAATATTCATTTCCATTATATTACATTACGTCATGGGTAAACTGCTTATCTTTTATCCATGGTGCGTTATTTATAAATATTTCTAATTAAACAGAATCCAGTTGTAATAAATGAAATTGGTAACGTATTAAAATGATTTTACCTAACAGAAAAGGTGATCGAGACAGCTATTAGGAATGCGCTTTTTGAAGCAAATAAGCAAGGAATTCGGGGTAAGGATGTGACCCCATTCTTATTGGCCGCAGTGTCTGCGGCAACGGGTGGCGCCTCACTTGATGCTAGTATCCTTTTCTGATCGTTTAATCAATATCACAGAAATTAAGTCTTTTACGCATGTATATTATATTAATAATTTTGGCAGAAGTTTAGTATATGGGACACTGCTCGTGGAGGAGTGGTGGTATTTTTGGATAGGAAAGGTGATAGGGAGTCTAAATATGTAAAAATTATTTTAAGGAAACGAAGGAGTCAAAAAAAAAATTGACAATGTCAAACCAAAATCTATAGTGTGATTAAAATTTATTTTAAAATATATAAGAAAATAACATTAAACTTTAATTAATAGTATAAAAAATGTTTTAAAATCTAAATGTGCATGTGAGATATATATAAGAGACATATCATAAGACATATTCCGCGATAAACAAGATCATTCCCAAGGAGGGTTGACGTCAGGCAGGCGGCCGGTCGTAAAACTTTTGCCAAATCCGTTCAGCAGTACAGAGGATGTACTGCGCCGACCCTAAGTAATTGGGAAATGGGCAGGGAGAAGAAGAAGGAGTCAAAAGTTATGAAGACTTAAAATTAAAACATTTCCATACATTTCTATACCTATATAAGTTATTACAAAAGATAAACATTCCCTTAATGAATAGTGAACATCCTTTTTCATGTACAATCTATATTTTCAGAACAATTAAAACTTTATTACATATATTAATATTTTAATAATTCCACTAAAATCAATATTGTAAACAAAATGATCTTAAATTTTAACAAAACTGTCAAAAAGTGGTATACGCAGTATACTTTCATGAGAAAACAGATTATCGCTTAATAATTAGCTAAGAGTTATGCATATTAAAAGTGAAAATTATCGTCAGATTACTAAGATTTTAAAATAGAAATATGTTATTTTCAATTCATGGAGTGCTTTATGTTAGTTTAATAAAAATTAAAAAATCGGTAATAGATCTCACACATTATCTGAAAACCATTTTGACATTTGGAAGTGACATTTCGACATTTCCAAGTGTCAAAATGACAGTAAATGTTATAATAATGTACGAAAATGTTGTAACTTTAAGTCTCAATAACTTTGACTCCTTCGTTTCCTCAAAACAAATTTTATATATTTGGACTCCCTATCACCTCCCTTATCCAAAAATAACACTCACTGCTCCAGTGGCCGCGTCCTATATACTAAACTGCAGCTTTTATATATATAATATTTTTATATGTTATTTTTAAGTCTTAATTTTAACTCTTGTTCGTATTTCTGAAATAAAATATTTCTTTCATTTCATTTAAGTAGGTAATAAGTTATAATAGAAGCCTAAGAGTGAAAGATGAAACATTTTCCGAGACCGTTAAAATACTTAATTACAAGCTTGACCCGTTCATTGAAGCTAATTTTAGCAGCAAATTAAACGTGTAGAAACGTAAATGGTCCTAAAATGATACTACTAAAACTAATTGCCACAATTTCTTTCCTTAACGACTCTCAGACATCGCGCTCATAAAGAACAACGCTAAAGTCGGCGCCGATATTGCCGTCCAATTTCAAAAACTGAGGAACGTTGACAATTTAGAGAACGCTTTTAATATCGGAGTCTCAAAGAGCTCGGGGAAATGTACGACGAATTCTTCAAGACAGTTACATACCATGTGTGCTTCGTCTGCCAACGAGAGCGGTGCCGGTACAAATATGATAAACAATTCATCTGGCGATGTGCTCGTCATCGGTGGAGCCAACGTCGATAGGACCTACAGGGTCACTGAACAGCATGTTCAGGTAAGTACTTTTAGCAATAGTACTTAATAAATTAATTTTAGGAAATATATTAATAATTTTTACGAAAGCTTCAAGCTGAAACACCATAACTGTTAGATATAACTTCACCGAAAGATTTATAATCTAACCGGTCTTGATTCCTAGCATTCAGTGATGTCATTATTCTTTATATCATATGCATATATTCAGCCAGGACTTTTTTATTATTTTAACTTTTATTTAATATAAAGATTATTAAACCGAATCTTATTTATTGTAATATTTCGTATATTTTATAAAGTTTTACAATAATGTTAAAAGTGTATAAAATATAATATTCAACTAAACATACAAACTAACTTTACACGAAGAATGAAATTTCATTTTGTTTTTAATCAAAAGTTCAATAGGTTATTACGCGATAATATCTGAAATCTATTGAAATGTCAAATAGCTTTCAATCGGCGACATAAATCTATTTAAAGCTCAAAAGTTAAATACGACGATATAGCTTTTGAATTTACAAATCGAATAAAATACACAAATTTTACTAAATTAGAATATGAATCACATACGAGCACATGAATATTAACAAACTTATTCATTTATGATTTCAATATACGTATGAACTTTTTATCGAATTCACAAGTTTCCTCATTTGTTTTAAGTAATAAAGTCTCAAACTTTCTTCATTTCTTTTAAGTATTAGAGGTTTTTTGTACTCATCAATCTACGAGTACACGTCGATGTTTGTAAAACCTACTTGGGTAATGTATACCTATTTTCTCCTTGTATAGAGTTTAGTGTGGTTGTTTAGCTATTCGAGATTGATCCAACGTTGATTAGAAGGAAGCACGACACGTGTGTATTCGAAGCTACAGAAAATGTAAAGCTGTGACATACAATCGCTACGTCTATTTACATCGGCTTTTTGTTGCATAATAGTAATTCCTTGAGATTACTGACAACAAATATGAATTGTAAAGCCAAATTAGTACTAAAGCTACTAATAAAATCCATTTAAATCTGTTTTTTTAGAATAAATATCTTTAGTTTTACATAAATTAGACTTAATTTTACTCCTTTTAGTTTATACTAGCGGCTCACCTTCGCATCGCTCAGGTTCGTCGCTAGTGAAAAAAAAATAATCCATCCCACGGGAACCGTACCTTTTTCCCGGGATATAAAGTATCTCTATGCCAAAATTCATCCAGATCCGTTCAACCGTTCTGGCGATATTAAGTAACAAACATCCATCCATCCAAACTTTCGCATGTATATATTATAGTAAGATAAGAAAGCGATATAAAAACCGTATTGCTTTATTAAAATCATTCAGAAATAGATTCCAGTCATCTATATAAAAATATTTTAAGCTGAAAAGTTAAATAATTATTCAGTAAAGTAAGTTTCAAAAGTTCGAGAGTCACTGTTATTGGTTTCACGTATAAGTGCTGCAGGAAATGATGTCAAAAATAAAAAATGGTAATTTAACAAAGATTTTATTTAATGCATTTATTATGATAATATTAGCTCTCAGTCGCCTAGTGCGTACCTTCGGAAAGTTGCAACAAGACTACTTTAATAAGAATTGTATAATCACACATTATGATATAATAAACAGAATATGAATTACTTATAAGTCAATAAAAATATTAATTTTAAAATTAGTTCATGAATATTTAAATTTAATAACAATTCACAATATCCTTTCAATAACATTTAATATGTTTGTTGACCGACAGCTAAAACATACGAATTGTATAATAAAAGAGACACAAATAGATTTTTCAAATACTACTGACCGTAAAATAATATAACAAGTGTCGTGAGTGTTATACACTGATTAATTTGATCATATTTAAAATGAAAATCATAGTTTGGTTAACTAAATAGTAACACTTTGAAAGGAGATTTTGAGGAAGGTGTAGGCAGCACGTCAGAGATGAGTTTTATTCCCAAGGACCAATAGTATTTAATATTGATTATTCTCATAATAAACATAACGTCAGTTAATTTTCATAAGCCAAGGCACATGTTATTTTACCATTTGGAAGAAATGCAGGATTTAGATTTGATCCTAGCTACAAATATCCAACTTTCCGAATATAGGTACAAATTTTAATAAGATTGGTACATTCAGTGACAACAATATTAAAAAACTATTTTTCTGCATAAATTCACAAAATATTATACCTACTCTAAGCGAATGTAATTATTAATTTTTAATAGTCATTACCAATATTTTCTAAAAGTTACATCGTAATAGTACAAATATAGTATGTGTAGGTTTCGCGAAATGGCCTAAAACGCACGGCGTCATTTCAGGTAAAAGAACTAGACTCATGTATGTTAGCTAAGTCACCCATGCTGTATACTAAGTTCTTAACTACGTATTTTTTGTTTGGTTCTTTTTAAAAATCTAAATTTTAAGATTACATGAGTGTTCTAGGTCATGCTAGTTCTGTCTATCCGAATATGAGTGTAGGTACAGTTATTTGTAAATTTACCCGTCTCTAACTTACGGCATTGAATAGCAAATACAATCTCTATAAATTCAAACAACGCTAAACATAATCTGCCTCTTTAATTAAAATTGAAGCTCCATAATTTAGCCATAATTTTGTATACCTATACCTGTATATTTTGACCTACAGGCCTAAAGGACAAAAATTTGGTAAAAGTTGGGATTTAATTAACCATTTAAACTATGGGATAGGTTACACCTATATACACAGCCATTAAATACATAAATGCTCCCATGACCTGAATACAAACTAAAAATAATCTTAACATAAAGCGTAATAAAAGTAAAGTTCACCTGTGAAAAATATGACTGAGAGTCGAAATCCTAAAACAAAAACTTTAATTTCATTTTAAACTGTTAATAAGCTTTTATACTTAGGCACTACGTCGTTTAAGCTCATATCAGTACTATTTCGTCAACCTGTCCATGCGCAACTCGCATTCTACACATATACATACAATTTTTATAATTATGTACAATTAATAACTGAGGATGACGCGATACGATAGGTTATCTGATCTAATGTTGGTCTCGATATTAAAAAATAAAATTATATTAATGTCTCGTGTATATGTTTTTATTTAACAACATTTTTACTGAACGCATGTACAGTACAAATTTTGTTAATAAAATAGTTTTTTGAATTTATTTTATAGTTTCAGACATTATACCTTAAATAAATTAACATATTTTACTTCGCTGTTTTCAAAAAATATATAAATCAATCATTTTTGACATAATTATAGCATTTAATTCTTATTAATAAATGAAAGTATTGAGACCAACAGATAGATGATCAAACCAGAACGACAATAGGTACTCATCTAATAACATTTTGAATTGAAAAAGATAATTTGTTCAAATCTTAAACAACACATACCATTTTAAACTATTGTTATACAATTAAAAGCTGTTGACTTACGCCTAAATTAAATATAATTAATAATTGTTTTGGTACGAATTACTATAAATACTCCATTTACACGCTCTCTTTGTTGAACCACGCTAGGTGTCGTCTTTGAAAATGAATCAATTAAATACGCTCATATATCTACATAACATTTTACAAGATTAGAAACAAAATATTTGAATTAATTCAAATAATTCAAAAACTGCCAAGCATAGGAACTAAACACAAGCTTTGCTCGTGAAATCGATTTATCTCATTCTAATTACTCATTGCCACTTAATAATCAATAGTTCATGCAAATCACAATTCTTCTAACACAAATCGTCCTTTCTTTCACGTAAACAGTCAGGACTGGTCTACTATCATAAACATAAAATACACATATTGTTGCACAAAGTCAGTTCTTTGAATTGACAGCGGCGATATCTTCACCGCAATGGAAGCGGCTGTACCGGCACCGGCTGGCGGTGACAGGATTTGTTTAGAGTTCGAATTCCGAGCGCGTATGGCGACGGTGGTCGAGGCGTACGCGAGCCCCCGACTTGCGCACGCACACTGGCACGCCGCGGGCCATCGGGGTTTCCACCTCGAAACCATCTGCCGGAAAAGACCGCCATCGCCGCCCGAACAACCGCTCCAAGTAACATCTTAGTCAGATTCGAGTTGCAGCACTGTCAGCTGCCAAAGGTCGGTATTCACCCCGCGCTAGCTCGCGCATTTCACAATTATTGTTTCCATTTATAGTTTTTAGTCCAAGCGGCTCATCATGTAAGCTTCGCCGTGAGCAAGGCTCAGAAGCTCGTCCAAGTAGAGCTTCTCTTTCCCCTGCTCGTTCGGGACTTCCCCCGTGTGTGCGAACACCTCCATTAGCATTAATAGCATTAACCACCACAGTTTGAGATAGTGGTCCACCATGCATAGGACTCCCTTCCAAAAGCTCTCCAGCACCAAGCTCACTTCGTAGTATTCTAATTTTTTGTATCATTTCTTTTATTTCGTACCGCAATATTCCAAGGAAGCACAATTTGAGAAATGCTATCACACAATATCCTAACACAAATAACGCGTCTGCTGTTCTTCGTAGCCAAGAAAGTAGACGTTCAGCACAAGCAGTGGTATGTGGCACACAATGAACCGGTGTAAATGGTAGAGGCGAAGTAGCAGAAGTAGCTGTTAATGTAGCCGGTGTCACAGCTGGAGTATGAGCTGGTATTCGGCAACAACTTGGTGGTAAAGTAGTGCGGTTAAATGCAGTAAAATCTGCAGGACCTGTAACTCCGCAGCAGCGCTGCTCTCTTTGCAGCCTATCCCAAGCCTCTGCGAAGTCGACGTCCAAGTCGTAATCTTTCGCCAAACGAATGCGTAGCTGGGGGCGTAACTCTCTGCAAACGCGCTCAAAGCGAAATGCCCAGTAAACGCCAATTGCAGCGTCACCGACCAAAAGAGCTAGTAGGGCGAGCCAGTAGGCGTTGAGCATGCGCTCAGAAAGTCGCAACGCGGCCAAGCAACCCAGTAGCTGTAGTAGACCTGCCTGTGCAGGTAACGCTGCGTATCCGTACAGGAAGCCGGGTTGGGAGGCACCCAACCCTGGGACGAGTGCCCGTCGGTAGTCTGCGAGTGCGCGGCCCGCTGCTGCACAAAACGCGAGCGCCCCTAGCAGCAGTGCCCCGTTGCACGCGTAGATCCAGATGCGGTAATAGCGCATTGCGCGGTGCGCGGCGGGGAAGTGCGCGGGGCGCGCGGGCGGCGGCAGCGTCATGGTGGCGGGCGCCGCGTCATGGCGCCGCCCGCGCCCGCGCCGCCGCCACACGCCGCGCCCCACGCCTCTGCAACATACACTTACGTTACATAAATACCTATAAATACAAAAAATATTCATGTCAGGTAATAAAGTGTGTATTGCGAAAAAGTTTTTTTCGTAGTTTGATCACGGCCGAAGCCGCGGGCTCTGCTAGTACGCATTAAACTCCTAATTTTTAAATACCTATATTTAATTAAGCATTATGTACGAAACCATCCTTCATGCGAACTTATTCGCAAATATAAGTTCGTGTTTCATATTATTTCTTACAGATATATGGAAAGTTAATTTAATTTTAGCGATCGTAACTTAAAATATCCAGGATACAAAAAGATATTAAACGTAGGTAGGCAGGTATATTCTGTAAATAAATTTTCATTTTAGGTAATTAGCAAACTCCACTGCCTCTATTTTTTGCACATTTGTCACTCCATCTTTCTAAAGTAAGAGAGTACAATGATACAATTTGCATACAGTGTTTACGACCTTAGTAGAATCATGTAACTCGGCTAATATGGGCTTTTTAATTAACATACCAACAAGCTAACATCTATGTATCTTATTTTTAAAGACATCACGTGTATATCCATCTTTTTAAGTAACATAATATATAAAGTGCCATTCTTATTTTGCTATAGCTTGTTGCCCGCGGCTACGCTCACATGGAATAAAAAATTTGCTCAGCTTTAATTTCCATTGAATTTAAATGTTGTCATATAGAATTTTAATATTATGTATTCATTTATATACCTAATCATTCTAGATTCACTTAACTTAGTCTACACTAAAAAACCAACCACTAATAAACCACATTGGTGGATGTTCTGTCTAGTTGTGGGGTTCTCTTAAAATGTCCCTATGAGAAGCAATCCTCTCTTAAGTCTATGCCTGCTACTTTTAACGAGTGACCCAGAGATATAGTAATTTTCATTGTAAAGGAAACTGTAAGAAGATATTACAAAGAATTTCACACGCGTAGTCAGAGGTTATCTGTGGTATTCGAGATATCGGTCGCGATTGATTGCCCCCGAGCACGTCCAGCAAACACAGTGCCGCTCTAATGTTTATTAAATTACTTACAGTCTCATCCCGTTACATAACTAAGGTGACTTTTTCATTACAGGTGTGCTAGCCTACAGAAGGAGGATATAGATAGCAGGGCACTGTCTAGCTACGTTTACTCTCTCGCGCTCTAGGTGTGTTATAGTTGTCATTGCTGTGGCCAGCCGAACAGTTATACATAATTTTTCTTTGGTTTAGGAATAATTTCTGTTCTCTACTTTATATCGCACACAGTAAATTTGTACTTACGGAAAACCTGACCATGTTACTCTTTTTAAATAAATTCGACCAACTCCAAGTTCACCGCCCAGTTATACCCTATTAGGGGTTAAATTTTGAAAAATTCTAAAATACATGTTTATATAATTGTATTGAAGAATACAATTAAATAAACATGTATAAATTAATACCAACTTTCAAATAATTCTGATTATAAACAAAATTTTTCCCCATATAAACAACACATCCCCTTTTTCCTTTTAAGGGATGAATTTAAAAAATAATAATAATATTTGTATCGTTTTATTTTTCATTTTAAAGGTAAATGCCACTTTCCGTGCATTAATTACAGAGTTTCATATAAACTTTAATCCTCCGTTTTACCCCCTTATGGGATTGAATTTCGAAAAATGATAAAACACTTACATATATTATTATTATTACGCATTCGCTGTATTTTTTTTAAACCTCTATAAATGAGAAGGGCCTCTCCTGTACCTTTGTAACCTAAAAAATCCGTTTAGTGAGAAAACTCCATTAGCGAGAAAGATAATGCGCTCCCTTGAAGTGTCGCTTATCCAGGTTTGACTGTATTTATTTAATTGTATTGAAGAGGATTAATACCAAGTTTCAATTAATTCTGATCATAAATAATTATTTGCCCATATAATCTTTATTACCTAATTTTACCCATTCAATGGATGAATTTCCACAAAAATTAAATAAACGTATTTCTTATTTTTTAACTTAAAACTAAATACCACTTTGTATGTATGTCACATTAAGAATGACAGAGTTTCATACAAACTTTAATCATCATTTTATCTACTTAGTTAAGGGATGAATTTCGAAAAAACCTTTCTTATCGGATGCCTACATCATATAATGAATGTGTCCTCTAAATTTCACGTCTGTACGACCAGCAGCTTAGACTGTGCGTTGATCGATCAGTCCGTCAGTCAAAACAAAGCATCTTATATATAATACATAATATGTAGATTTCATATTAAGGCCTATAATTTGTGTTTTTCTCAGAATTGTAAGCACCTTAGTTTCAATGCTAAAGTAGTCAAAACATCCAATTATAACTTTATATCTTTGCATTATAAAATTATATTAAATATTTCAATATATTATTCTTCAAAATAATCCCTTCAATTGCACACGATTCACTAGTTTCATTATTTTATTTTCAATTTCCAATATTAGTACTCAAAATTAGATTTCATTTATTTACGTAAAACAACATTTAAATCAAACGAGACAGTTTAATTTAGTAATTTATACAATAAACTAACTACGAAGTTACACAAAATACCAGCTGCTACCACAATTTTGGCATTAACAATATTTGCAAAAATACGATATTTATGATATTTTCCTAAACTCATTAGTGACTTAGGAAATACGATAAGGTGCCTTTTGTAAATGATTATAATTAATTGATTTATATCTTTACAACCAACTTAGAACATGATAAATAGCCTCCGCGAGATAATACTTAGCCTCAAGTATTTATTACTTCAATTTAGAACGGCGCAAGTCGAAAAATGAGGTCAAAGAAGAGTTCAAACTTCACGAATAAATAATGGTGAAGGATATGTCCTTAATTTTATGGACATATCTATAAAATTCTTTAAAGATCAAAAATACCTCAAATATACGTACAGTATGATATTTTAATAATTTAATATTTATAAGTAAATGAATATATTTGTAAGTAAATGAATATTTCGCAGTTCTTGCAAAAAGGTAGCATTTAAAGATGGCTTGTAAAAATAACTAGTAGTACGTAGTGTCTGTAAATTTCTACACTGCGCTATATAATACATATTGGACTTACTTTAATGCATTTCTCAATACCAATTACCATTTTTTTTCATAGTAGCATTTTCAGTAACAATATGACATAAGAAAAAAAAATGAATTTTAACAAGGTAAAAGTTGTAAATGTAATTCTATTGAAAAAAAATATATTTAAGAAATGTTTGGGATATAATCAAGAAGTAAATAGGACACACAGACAAGGCAAAAAAATGTTGCTAGTAACACAGATCATATAATACTATACTAGTACTAGTAATAACATTTTGTCTTACAATCCGCCACCCGTGCCTTGTGCGCGAAGCCTGGCTAGTCACAGAAGGGGCCGCGTGAGTCTTTGCAGTGCACCTACCAAACCAGTGCGAGGCCTGAAAAGAAATCAAAGTTTATCTATACTAATATTATAAAGAGATAAAGTTTGTGATCTTGTGAGTTTGTGAGTTTGTGAGTTTGTGACGTTGTAGGGGGTAATCTCTGGATCTACTGAACCGATTTTCAAAATTCTTTTACCAATAGAAAGTCACGTTCTTTCTGAGTGTCATAGGCTATATATTAACCCGAAAAATGAAAAGGCTTTTATGTGGTAGTCGGATTTTCAAAGTAAGTCGGAGAAAAAACGGTCAAACGAAAACGTTTCTTACGAACGTGGCCTTAACGATGAGAGATATATGATTATGTTCTAGAGAAAAGT